AAACCCCCTTTGGGTTATTGGGTGGAAACCCCTCCCTCCGGGGTTTCCCTGGGTGGCAAACCCCTCCTACCTGGGTTATTTGGGTGGCTAACCCCCCTACCTGGGTTTCGGGGGGTAACCCCCTACCGGGGGTTTTCCCTTTCCCTCCCCCCCCTTTCCCCCCCTTTCAAAACCCTCCTTCCCTTTTTCTTGGGGGTTAAAAAAACCCCCTCCCCCTTTTTCCCCTTTTAAGGTTTCTTCGGTGGTAACCTCCCTACCCTGGATTATCCTTGGTGGCAAACCCCTCCCTACCCTGGGTTACCTGGACGGGAACCCTCTCCCCCTGGGTTATCTTGGAAGTGGCTGTCTTGGAAAAAGTTAGTGAAAGTGGACCCCAAGGATTGGTCCGGTGGAGACTTTGGTATAGCCGGGTACCTTTTTTAAAAGGTTCGTAGGTTCGGGTCTCCTTCAGCCAGAGACAGTGTTTGTGTATATTTCCCCTGCTCTCGCAAATTCATGCATTATATATATTTATTATATTTATATATTTATATATTTAATAATTTATATATTATATTATATATATTATTTATTTTATATATAGGGCTATGCATATTTTCGCAGAATCCCCGACAAGATGCAAAATTTAGCCGCCGCATCGGGTACTTTAATTGTAGCGTTTCGTCTGCAGAAAATTTATCAATAAAATAAAAGGGCATAATGTGACGTGGGTAAGCGCCTTCCCCCCAGTGCAGGTGATGCCCCATCGTAGTCTAATAAAAGCACAGGCACGAATATTGGTGTTTTATATGGCGTCAAATGCGTAGTATCAAATTACTTTGGCTATTACCAAAAATTTTAAAATTTAATCACGTAACCCCCTATTGGGGGGAAAGCTATCAAAAGTCCATGATTACCCATTTTTTTCGCAAATATCTATCCTGGAGCCCAGATAAATGGCAAGATATTAATTTTCATTTAAAACAGACCTTAAGTCCCCCAGGTAAAGGTGTGTTAAGTCCCCCAGGATAAGGGGTTTAAGTCCCCCCAGGATAAGGGGGTTTTTAAGTCACCCAGGATAAGGTGTGTTAAGTCCCCCAGGTGGTGTTTTAAAGCACCCAGGAAAGGGTGTGTTAAGTCCCCAGGATAAGGTTGTTAAGTCCCCCAGGAAAAGGTGTGTTAAGTCCCCCAGGGTAAGGTGTGTTAAGCCCCCAGGATAAGGTGTTTTTAGGTCACCCGGATAAGATGTTTTTAAGTTCCCCCGGGAAAAAGGTGGTTAAGCCCCCCCAGGGTAAGGTGTGTTAAGTCCCCAGGTTAGGTGTGTTTAGTCACCAGGATAAGGTGTTTTAAAGTCACCCGGATAGGTGTGTTAAGTCACCAGGAAAAAGGTGTGTTAAGTCCCCCAGGATAAGGTGTGTTAATCCCCCAGGATAAGGGTGTTAAGCCCCCCAGGTAAGGGTTTTAAAGTCCCCCAGGGTAAAGGTTTTTAAGTCACCCGGGATAAGGTGTTTAATCACCGGATAAGATGTTTTAAAGTCACCCAGGAAAAGGTTTTTTAAAGTACCAGGATAAGGTGTGTTAAGTCACCCAGGTTAGGTGTTTTAAAGTCACCCAGGATAAGGTGTTTTTAAGTCCCCGGAAAAGGTGTTTTAAAGTCCCCCCGGGATAAGGATTTAAGTCACCCAGGAAAAGGTTGTTTAAGTACCCAGGATAAGGTGTTAACACCGGATAAGTGTGTTAAGTCCCCCAGGGATAAGGTGTGTTAGGTCACCGGGATGGGAGTTAAGCCCCCCAGGAAAGGTGTGTTAAGTCACCGGTAAGGTTGTTAAGTCCCCGGGGTAAGGTTTTTAAAAGTCCCCCAGGATAAGGTGAGTTAAGTCCCCCAGGAAAAAAGGTTTGTGTTAAGTCAAAGGATAAGTTGTGTTAAGTCACCCAGGATAAGGTGATTTAAAGTCCCCCAGGAAAAGGTGTGTTAAGTCACCGGTAAGGTGTTTTAAAGTACCAGGATAAGGTGTGTTAAGTCACCCGGAAAAGGTGATTTAAAGTCCCCCAGGAAAGGTGTTTTAAGTACAGGATAATTGTTTTAAAGTCAGCCAGGATAAGGTTGTTAAGTCCCCAGGATAAGGTGTTTTAAGCCCAGGAAAGGTGATTTAAAAGTCCCCCGGGATAAGGGGGTTAAGTCACCCAGGAAAGGTGTTTTAAGTCCCCGGGGAAAAGGTGTGTTAAGCCCCCGGGATAAGGTGTGTTAAGTCACCCGGATAAGGTGAGTTAAGTCCCCAGGAAAGGTGTTTTAAAATCACGGGATAAGTTGGTTAAGTCCCCCAGGAAAGGGTGAGTTAAGTCCCCCCGGATAAGGGTGTTAAGTCCCCCAGGAAAAGGGTGAGTTGAGTCCCCCAGGATAAGGTGTGTTAAGTCACCCAGGATAAGGTGAGTTAAGTCACCCAGGATAAGGTGTGTTAAGTCACCCAGGATAAGGTGTGTTAAGTCACCCAGGATAAGGTGTGTTAAGTCACCCAGGATAAGGTGTGTTAAGTCACCCGGAAAAGGTGTTTTAAAGTCACCCAGGAAAGGTGGTTTTAAAAAGTCACCCAGGGTAAGGTGTGTTAAGTCACCCAGGAAAAGGGTGCGTTAAGTCCCCCGGAAAGATGGTTAAGTCCCCCAGGTTTAAATTGGTAAGTCACCCAGGATAAGGTGTGTTAAGTCACCCAGGTTAAGGTGTGTTAAGTCACCCAGGATAAGGTGTGTTAAGTCACCCAGGATAAGGTGTGTTAAGTCCCCAGGAAAAGGGTGTTTTAAGTCCCCCAGGAAAAGGTGTGTTAAGTCCCCCGGAAAAGGTGTGTTAAGTCCCCAAAGGTAAGGTGTGTTAAGTCCCCCAGGGAAAAGGTTGTTAAGTCACCCGGTAAGGTGTTTTAAAGCACCCGGATAAGATGTGTTAAGTCCCCCAGGATAAGGTGTGTTAAGTCCCCGGGATAAGGTGTTAAGTCCCCCGGGGATAAGGTGTGTTAAGTCACCCGGTAAGGTGGGTTTAAGTCCCCGGGATAAATGTGTTAAGTCACCCAGGATAAGGTGTGTTAAGTCACCCAGGATAAGGTGAGTTAAGTCACCCAGGATAAGGTGTGTTAAGTCACCCAGGATAAGGTGTGTTAAGTCACCCAGGATAAGGTGTGTTAAGTCACCCAGGATAAGGTGTGTTAAGTCACCCAGGATAAGGTGTGTTAAGTCACACAGGTAAGTTTTGTTAAGTCCCCCAGGATAAGGTGATTTAAAGCCCCCAGGAAAAGGTGTGTTAAGTCACCAGGATAAGGGTGTTTAATCACCCAGGATAAGGTGTGTTAAGTCACCCAGGATAAGGTGAGTTAAGTCACCCAGGATAAGGTGTGTTAAGTCACAGGATAAGTTGTGTTAAGTCAGCCAGGATAAGGTGCGTTAAGTCACCCAGGATAAGGTGTGTTAAGTCACCCAGGATAAGGTGAGTTAAGTCACCCAGGATAAGGGAGAGTTAATCCCCCAGGTAGGTGTGTTAAGCACCAGGTAAGGTGTGTTAAGTCCCCCAGGATAAGGTGTGTTAAGTCCCCCAGGTAAGGGTGATTTAAGTCCCCCAGGATAAGGTGTGTTAAGTCACAGGATAAGTTGTGTTAAGTCACCCAGGATAAGGTGTGTTAGGTCACCCAGGATAAGGTGAGTTAAGTCACCCAGGATAAGGTGTGTTAAGTCACAGGATAAGTTGTGTTAAGTCCCCAGGATAAGGGGGTTTTTAAAGTCCCCCGGAAAGGTGAGTTGAGTCCCCGGATGGGTTGTTAGTCACCGGATAAGGTGGTTAAGTCACCCGGGATAGGGTGTTAAGTCACCCAGGAAAAGGTGTGTTAAGTCACCCAGGATAAGGTGTTTTAAAGTCACCGGAAAAAGGTGTTTTTAAGTCACCCAGGAAAAGGGTGTGTTAAGTCACCCAGGGATAAGGTGTTTTAAAAGTCACCCAGGATAAGGGGGTTTAAGCCCCCGGGTAAGGTGTGTTAAGTTCCCGGGAAAAGGGTGTTTTAAAGTCCCCCAGGAAAAGGTGTTTTAAGTCCCCAGGATAAGGTGTTTAAGCACCGGATAAGGTGAGTTAAGTCCCCCAGGAAAAGGTGTTTTTGTACCTAGGTAAGGTGTGTTAAGTCCCGGATAAGGTGTTTTAAAGTACCCGGATAAGGTGTTTTAAAACCCATCCAGGAAAAGGTGTGAAAGTCACCCAGGATAAGGTGTGTTAAGTCCCCAGGATAAGGTGAT